TCAAGTCATTTAACCTAGTTTCAAAAAAGGTGTACGAACATTTTTGTGGGCAACTGTATGTATACACACGAGCAAAATGGACAACTTGGAAAGAGGAGTTGCGATTATTCGAGCCTTGCAGCTCGTTTTTATAATTACCGATTGTCAACAACTATAAATTAGCTGCAAATTTCATCGGAATCGGTTAACGCAGAATCAAGCTACAAACGTTGAAAGACCTGAAAATCTGTAGATTTCCCAGTTTTTGGTCGAAAGTCGTGGAAAACTGCGATTTTATTGTGACTTAAAAGGATGAGATAACATTTATACTTGATAGGTTATTAATGAATAAATTTCATTTGATCTATAAAATGATTGTGCATTGAAAATCATAGCTTATTTTTGAAGAACCCGTGTATACTATGATCGCAATGATTTCTAAATCAGAGATTCAATATACAGGGTGTCTCACCTAACTCTCACCTAATTTAAAATATCTCGCTTGTCTTTTTATGATAGAAAAAAATGTCAAAGGGAAACAGTTGGTTTAGAAGGGCAAATATTATGATAAGCAACAAAATTAGTTTAAGGTTATGTTTTTTGAGATTTCAATTTTTTATGAATTTTTCGTACGCCTATCATAATATTTGCTCCTCTGTATCAACTAATGTTTTCCTCTGACATTTTTTTCTGTCATAAAAAAGAACGAGATATTCTAATTGCTCGAGTTAGGTGAGACACCCTATATATAGAAATACATAAATGAACAAACATTTCAACATTGTTTTTGTCGAAGTACAATTTTTTGGATCACAAATGCTTCGTATTAACAGTTAGGTTCGCCGATTTTATCGAAGAAAGCACGAAGTTTCAAAATTTACAAGAAATTTCGAGTTATAAACCAGAGAAAGTCATGAAATAATAAGTCTAAAAATAATGAACTCATGAAACTAAAAGATTCTTTGCGTTGTGTAAAATAAAATTAAAAAACGATTCATTTTCATGTCTGTAATCTCTGTACAACTAAACTATTCAATTTTATGCATTTATGATAAAAATAAGAGGATGCAATTTATTTTTACTTAAGTGTATCGACATGTTATGAACAAAATTATTAAAACTATTGACGAGATGAAAGAATCCTCGTTTCGTGTCTGATAACTCATGCGAATAACACGTATTTTACATAAATATCCGCAGTGGAACAAAATGAAATCAATTCACGGCATCCAAGCGTTAACAATCTCATACAAAACGGCTTTGCAACAATCGATTAATTGTCCCCTATCGGTTGAAATAGATAGAACATTGTCCCTTTATTATCAGACACTGAAAATCTCGTATGTATGTTCGTATTTGTAATAATGTTCGTTATCTTGCAGCAACGACGATAAAGAAAACCAAAGCAGTGAAACCGGAAGATATAAAGGAAGAAACACAATGCTATGAGGATTGCATATGTAATTGTCAAAAATTAATTTAAAACTATCTTGTGACAATTTAACCGTTAATTAATATTGCCGGTCTGTGAGACCGCTAATAATTATTTATTTACCAGTGGCGATGATACAATTGTAAGAAAAATTCTGAAGAAAAGGAACGTTCTTAGTACGTACAAAAAGTGAGACTCCTTCAATATTGATATGCAAAGTAAAACAATTGATTTTTATTTTTTATTCACCACTTCTATGTGCGAGGCCGCTAATAGTTCAGGTAAGTTTTAACAGGTGTAGTAGTTAAGGCTTAGACGCGTTTGCTGTGTCCCACGTTAGGTGCCACTCTATTTCTATCTCTATAAATCAGTAATTTCTCTAAAATCAGTAACCCAAAGCAATGTAAATTTAATGCAAATATTATAACAATGTCGGTAGTTTTGTTGCAATAATATGGCTCCTAAGAGTGTCAATTTTTTTTAGTTAATGCGAAAAACATCTAAATCAATCTTTGTTTGATTAATTCAAGAAAAACTTGAAGGTTCCGGTACTAGGGGCGCTCCCTTTACCGATTTTACTCACAAATGCGTAAAATCAGTAGTCTAACGATTACTTTACGGTCTGGCCGATTTTACGAGCCCGACGTATCGTGTCCGCGACTACGCAGAATCATCGGCCAATTTTTTCGCAACCGGGCCCGAACCGATTAAAAAAAAAAGTGGTTCATTTCCCGGCGATCGAACAGGCGGAACCGTCGAGGGGTCGAATATCGATGTAAGGGTGGAAAGGATGTTTGGAAGACGGACACCCCGGAGAGGATTCTTCGGGATCGCAGAGGGGGTCGACCAGCGGAGGGTGGACAATACGAGGTCCGCGTAATGGACCGATTACCCCTCCCAAGCGATCGCATTGACGAGACTTTGATTAGGGTCGAGTGGCCAGATCCGACGGGTAAGTACCGACCGGGTGCGCACCCTGATAAACCGCCGCCACATACAAAGCGGGTCCGCGCACCCGAACCATCCCTGGACGTAGAGGACCCGCGCGCCTTAGCGGTTGCCGCGGTGCACTCTTGCGGAGTCATTGCGCTTTTCTTTGCCCGGTTGAACCGCTGCACCGCCGAGCCGGCAGCGGGGTCATTTGCTAATTGCGCCAGGAATGACTGGAATGTTTCACGATATCGGGCTACCAGACTTCCTATACGCTTGCGAGGGGCTTCATTTCGAGATTGGACGGTCACTCTCAGCTCTCGGAGAGAATCGGGAGATAACGTCGAGGATGTTCCTTTGAACTTCCGAAGAAAGCTACTGGCCCAACAAGTGCAGGGTGTCTCGCTGTAAATGCCGTTTGATGTGACTACTCGACCATTGCTGATAGGACAGAATATTGCAACAATTTTGTAGGTCTCATCTGGTCTCAGCGACGCGAGATTATATGATCGCGTGTTTTATGTAAGCCATTCTAATATTTTGCTGTTATGTGTATGCTACCGGACATCATTTATGCATAACATGCCGAACATAATTTATATTTATATATAATGTATATTTATTACCATAATGCAAACTATTTATTCTGCACAATAAAATAATAATAAACGTTGCAATGAAAAATGTATTCTATATTTAAAAATTTACTGTTTTATCATTCTCTAGGAATTTACTCTCTATCATATTTTCTTATCTTTGAACGCTTGACAGTTTCACACTTATCTTGAAAGATTGACACTATTCTTTTTCCGTTTAAAGTTTTATCGCATGAAGCGTTATCCATATGCAAGTAAATTAATTTATTTTGAAAAACGAATAGTTACTGCGAAATATTTAACTAATTCCGCTGCCGCGAATAAGCAACTTGAACCGAGGAAGCAAAATACGAACAAACCGATCACTGTTCATAAACATTTCTATTACCTAAACAATGTAAACAATGGGAATAGCAATGGACCTCGATCAACCGAATATAAAAGCCTCTATTATGTGAACTAAAAGAAGAAATCGGTGGAGATGCAAACGAACATCTGTTGTTTGAACTGCTCGTTTATCTGAACTGCCATGTTCACTGAACTGTTCACATAAAAGAGGTTCTACCGTAACCACGAACACGTTCGAACGAGTGGATAATACTTTGACAATCAAACTTGATGTTTCATAAAATTCATGTATTTTATTTATCCAAATTTCTTTTTTAGATTGAAAAGTTATGTTCTATGATATCAATTAATTTCTCAACATTCTTATCTAATTATTATTCTTAACGTGGCTTTAATTCAGGTGTACTAACACATGCGTAAACCTCATACGTTACTAAGAATGAAAATTCGTCTATTTCCCTTTTCTTTTTAAGTACCGTAGAACGATAAATAACAATTCATTTCAATTAAGATGATTCGTAGCAATATCTCTCAAAAGTGTGCAAAAGCTATGAATTATTACTTTCATAAACTAATGTAAAACAGCTGCTTTTAGTGCTCGGCAAATCTAATGTTAAACAATTTGAGAATACTATTGTATTTCTGTGAATTTATTATAATGATTAAAAAAGAAAATAAATGTCTATGCAGTCCCTGTAAACGTATATGTATATCAATTAAGGTATATGTAAATTAATAAAACATATTATGTATATGTAATAGGATATATGTAATTAATAAAAACGTATACGTACATTAATTAATAAATATATTCATTTAGAACGTATGTCAATTAACGTAAACAATCTGTACTTTGCATACAAATCCGCTGACTAGTTATTAAACCTTTGGACTCGGGAGGCGACTCCAAGGCGTAAATAAAAATTGTTTTCAAAATAAGTTTAATATTATCGAATTTGTTTATATTTATAAATCTTTTAGAAGTATAACTGTTGCATGAGTCACAAGATTCAATTTCATATTTATGAAATGCAGTACGTTATATAAAATGGAAACACTATAGACCAGAAAAAACTATCTTAGATTTCGAGTTAAAATGGCTCCGACTGCAAAGGGTGAACCATCGAACGATGCGAGGCTCGGCTCCATTTTGACCCACAGTATAAATCTCGCTGCTCAATTATCTAGTTTCTATTAATAATTTAATTCTATCTAATCTAATTCTTCACGCGTTTCATCAAGCTCTATAAACTTACGTCTTCGGAAGAAGCATCTTAATCCTTTGCACTGGAAGCCAAATTAACGTAAACTTGAAGATAGTTTTTCTCACCCGCGATACTTCCATCTTATATAAGTGCATTTCGAACAGACGAAATTGAATTTTGCGACTCGTGCAACAGTTACGCTTTCAACCGTTCTTTGTATCTAAACAAATTTGATTAATCAAATTATTATGAAACGTGACCTAACAGTTTTTAATGGCGCCTCGGAGTCGCCACTCGAGTGCAAAGGGTTAAAGAATCGGTTGAGAAATATCGATAAATAAGATCACAGACGTTCCTAAGCGTGCTCGTTCAGTTTCATTTTCCTCGAACAGGTCCGCCGTTCGAGTTTGAAAACGCGATGGTATCAACCGACGAAGTTTGTTTTCTCCTCGAGAGGCACGTTCGATCGAGAAGAAAGTGAATGAGGGGAGCGAATGAAAGTAAACTTACGCTAGGTATGTTGTCGTTATTGCAAACGCCCTCCTGGAGCAGCCTGTCGCGGATCTCCCAAGCGAAGATCGAGGGGCACTCCCGTTTGTAGTCGGCGATTTTGTTAACCACCGGGGTGGTCGCCACGCGTGGCTTGCTGCCACCGATTGCACGTGGTTTGATCGAGCCTGTCTCGTAGTACCTGCGGAAATAGAGAACGGTTTCTGTATTGATAGGGAAGGCTGGGCTACCGGCTCGCTTGCTGTGATCTATTAGGTATGACCTGCCGAGGATCTTGGAGACGCATCCGTTGCTGACTTGCAGTATGCGCGAGATGTCGCAGGGCCTGGCGCCGCTGTGGGCCAGCTCGACGATCTTCTGCCTCGTGGAGTCTGGCAATGGTCGGCCATTGACGTAAACACCGCCAAGCTGGTTGACCCCGCTGTGTCCTGCAGCCGAGCACCCAAATATTGAGTTCTGTCCGACCATAGAACCCCCGCCAATACCCGCACCACCCCCGTGCATCAAGTCCTCCTCTGTGAATCAAAACGCGCGGCAACGTGTATTCTGTCACTTGGTCAGGGTGTCTGGTTCGGCAAACAGCGGCCGAACGTGTCCGCGATAGAGATGTTTCACCGGGTGCAATTAGGCTAATAAGAACCGCCGTGCGTGCGTCGCGTCGGCTGCAATTGAACGCGCGCCGCGCCGCGCCGCCACGGCGATCTTTACGCTTTCCGGTCGCTGCGAATCTCCTCGCAACATTGGAAATTCCATTCGAGTAGAACAATACTAGTCCCTCGAGATCGGTCCGCCATATTGTTTGCCTTTTCCTTCCGTCGTCTTTCGAGTCCGCTTGCGGTTGCATCGGATTGTTCGAAAAAAGAAATTGTTCACATTTCATTGGATTTTTATAGGTTCCCTTGCACTCGTTAACCCTTTGTAGCTCGAATTTTTTAACGTAAGTTGAAAGACGTGCGCATAACTGGAAATATCAACGTCCAGAAATAGATTATTAATAATAAATGAATTCTTTCGAATATTAAATTTGCTCCAGCATGCGAAGTAAAAGTTAAAAGTCGTCGTCGACAGAATAAGCTACTTTCATCGCACTGCGGCCAAAGGTTAAGTTGGCGTAAAGAACGTGATAAATCAGTAAATGACAACAAAGTTCCGCCGAGCTACAAAGAGTCATGTTTTAAACTAGAATTTCGAATTCGCGACATATAGAGGAGGAAATATTGATTCTGCAAGCATTTAATATTTCGAAAGTGTCGTAAAGAGAATGATCTTGCGTGACCTTTTCCGAAGCATCGAATAACCGCCCTCTAATAAAACTGACGTCACAGATGTTTCTTATATTTCATCAGAACTATCAGTTAACACCAGATTTACGGAACGATTATTCATATCGTAAAGAAACACATTTATAAGATATTTATTCAATTTATATGTTACTTACGGCAAATGTTACAACAACACTTGCTAAAAATCAGAATAAATGTTTTATTATTACTTTTATAAACTAATAGAAAACAGCTGTTTTTTATGCTCCGTAAATCTAGCTTTAAGGACATCATGTATTTTTAATGGATTAATTGATTTTAGTATACAGTCGACCACGTCGTTGTACAACGTGTAAAATGAGATTTAACTAACAAAAATCACTCCGCAATCCATAAATAATGAAACTGTCGCGTGTGCGAAATGTTTAAGCGTTGAATATCGCGAAGAACGTTCCCATATCCGTGCGTTGCAAAAATAACGCGGTATCACGTGTTTATCGCGAACTAGTAAATAAATATCTGCTTATGATGTAGAAACTCGCTTCACAGTTAATGGTTTGTTTCATGATTAAATAGGTACAGTAAACCGCGACGCGACACGATTTGCTCGTTATATATTTGCAATAATTCGTAAAAAAAAGGCATATATGCGCGAATAAACAACCGAGCTGTTTAATATATTCGTTCCGCGACAGTAGTTATAGTGTCCGCGACGCGGCGCGTCGGTATTTAATGCACGCGCCGCGAGGGGATGGAGCTCGAGTGTCGCATTAATTCCTGTGTCCGCAAACACCAAAGAGTGCTTCAACAATATTTGCACTCGTTAATCGGGGGAAACACACGATGCCACGGTTAACTTGTTTTTCGCCGGGCAGGTTTGTAAAAATCGATAAGCTTTTGTTGAATTTAATGGGAAAAACGGCCGCAAATGATGGGACTGTTCCCGGACCCCGATCCGCGCCAATTTACCGAATGTGATTTATGAAACAAAACAACAAACACACGTTCGGGTTCCGTCGTAAACGGTGTTTTTTAAGCGGACCTGTCGGAAGGACATTAAACGTTTGCAAACCAAATCACTTCCCGCGATTTTTCTCCCCGGAACGAAGTCCCGAACGTCCGCGGCGTATAATTAATCAAATTAAAATTATACCATTTCGCGCGAAGGGTATATACACACCACGAAATTCCGTATTCGAACAAATTGCGAACTGCGTCGTTTTCCAGAAGCGTGAAACACGATGAAAAGTACGTATTCGGTTAATTCGCCCTCCGTCTCTACACAGATGCGGTTCGATTTTCATCGATTATATCGGGCCGTTGTTTCTTTAAGTGTTCGGACTCACTGTCGCGGAAACTGCAGCTTTTAAACGCGCGGATCTCGCTGTTCGACGACGATATACGGGGCCGGCGGAATATAAAATAAGATAAGCGCGCGAATGTTGCAGTGCTTAACTCGACTGTACGGAACACGTACGCGGGGGAAAAAAAAGGGAGAGAAACATGGCGTCGAGTTCAGCCCGAGACAGGACCACAAAAGGTTAACGTTGCCAGCTGCAAAAGAGTCAAGCGTGTTTTGGCGTGCACGAAGAAACAACGGACGAACGTGCAAAGTGGGCCTTTTACCCCTTTTGTCGGTGGCCTTTCTAAATTCACGTGGTAACGCCGGCAGCGCGCGAAGAATAAGGGGTGGAACGAACGCGTCGTGACTCGGGGTACACACCGGAAGTGAGAAAGAGAGAGGCGGAGAGAGGCCAGGGGAGAGATTGAGTGAGAGACGCGGGTCGGCGCAAGGTGCCGAGAAGGCAGCGCGGGCTAAATGCATCTTGCAATTAACGAATTTAATTAATCTGCCGCTTTTGCGCCCCGCAAAACGACAAGAAATAGTGGAAACGCAATTTGAATGGTCTGGCCGTGGCACGGCGCCGTATGAAACCACTTTCTGTGTAACATCGCGCCACGCGTTTTCATCAGCCTTTACCGTCGTGTCGCCACAGGAGGACAGGGATTCCACGCGTTTCGTGCTTATTTCTCGCCTCAAAGAGACGGGCTTCCGCGTACCCCCGACCATCCGTCACTTTTCCTTGCCTCCGTCACTCGAACATCCTTCCGCGGTCACATCTCCGACGCGACAATTGCGAACGCTCGCAGACGATCCCCGCGGCTCGACGTTTTCATCCAATTACGGACGCAACGAGCTGTCATCTCGATTGAATTATTCCTGCTCTCGGATCGGAATTTTGAGCCTTTTACCAATAGACCGTTTCATCTATCGTTACGGTTACTATATATTCGCGTGGAGGAAATCAGGAATTGCTCCATCTACAAAAGTCATTTGATTAACAAGAATTTAATTAGCAAGAATTAACTCTTTCTAATAAACCATGTTTGTGTTTTAAAAGCTGTCGACTCTGTGTACACACAATGAATTATAACGAAGTTTAATATTTTCTCACTTCGTTTTAACTTCGACTTCGCCCGAAACCCGCCACATCCTTTATGGTCGATATTATTGTATTAATAGAATTATTAGAAATGCAAAGATTCACAGCAACAACATCAATTTTTCCTGTGTCTCCTAAATCTTCCGACGTAATTTGCACTGCGTTATCTCTAACTAAATTGTTAGTCTGTATTGCTTTCTGTAATCTAAATGGTAATTAGTCTGTTCAATAAACAATAATAATAATAATAATAATGTCTAAGATACATTTAGTAGAAATGTATGTTTTCAATATTTCATTTTTTAATTGGATTCGTTCGTAGTCGTTAACAAAATTCAAGGATCTTTAGTATTCTTTTACATGTTTTTAAACGGTTTGTCTTTGTTTTTTTTTTATCATCTAATGAATTCATCTGTTCTTCGATCTTTGCAGTGGTGACATGGTTTTTGATATAAGAAACTTTATGAAATAGTTCGCCGTCATTTCGATTGTGAAAATACAGTAATTTCTCCCTAATTGTCCAAAATGGACAATTTTGGAAAAGAAGATACGATTATCCAAGCCTCGCGGCTCATTTTTTATAGTTAACGACTAAAAATACGACTATAAAAACGAGAAGCAAGACTCGAACAATCGAATCTCCTCTTTCGAAATTGTCCATTTTTGTGCGTAATCTGGGCGCGAATTAGGGAGAATTACTTTATTTTCAAGAAAGTAGATACTTGAGCCGTTTATTTTGAAGATGGCCTAAGTCCACTTATTTTAAAATTCAGATATTTAAGGATTTTGCGTTTTAATCAATTTAAAAATGTTTCTAAGAATTATTGTGTTCTAGAGGCTTTGTTGAAATAAGATTATACATAACGTGGAAATGTAAATATTAAAATAATCAGCTCGATGTTTTTGGAAAATGGACAACCAGTTAGCTGTGATTGTCGAGTATACTTGTCATGGAGAAGTGGCAGTATTTTGGGTCATGACGAGTATACTCGTGCGTAAAAAATTGTAATTTTAGTAAAAACAAAAACATATTCTCAAATTTCAAGATGTTTAGAATATTTTCAGAAAAAAAATATAAATAATTATATGAATAATTCACGATATTGGTGTTCGACGTGCAAAGTGCCATTATGTGTCGTTCCTTGCTTTGCTGAATACCACTCTGCAGCAGCAATTTGAATTTTTAACTTTTATAAGCATTTGATTTTTCCTGCTTTTTTGTTTATTATGTATGTAGTATATGTCAATGTTAAGTGAATAACTAAATTCAGTAAATTCTCCCTAATTGACGCTCAGTTTGTACACAAAAGTAGACAATTTGGAAAGTCGAGACACGATTATTCGAGCCTTACAGCTCGTTTTTATATTTACCGATTTTCAACAACTATAAAAACGAGTCGCAAGGCTCGAATAATCGCATCTCGTTTTTCCAAATTGTCCATTTTTGTGCATAATCTGAACGGCAATAAAAGAGAATTTACTGTATTAGTAACACAAAATTGTTAATTTTATAAAATAAAACCGTCTTTTTTATCCAATATTTTAACAGTGACATTTACTCTGTTTTTGATGAGTATACTCGTCATCGCTTGATTCTCGCGACACATAAGTTTGCGCTCTGAAAAGTAGACGTCACGGCTAACTGGTTAATGAACCGTTTGCATTACTGCCGATCAGTCGTTCTCATACAGGACGATATCATCTTCTGTATCCAGTTTATGTTTTTGTATATTCGTACAACGATTCAAATTATATTAACGATTTCAATCTACCTTGGTAAAAGCTGAGATATCTATGATATTTTCTTTA